AGCAGCAGGGGGCGAGCGGCTCTTGACCTTGCTGTGTCCTGACGGTGAGAACCGTGCGGGGGGGCCGGGGCTTGGCTGACTCTGCCAGGCTCTTGCTACTGTTGCAGCTTTTGTGCTAGTTGCTAGTGACATGCTCTCGCCCTGGGACAGCGCGGGCTTGGCTTTCCCTGTCGCGTGCCCCTTGGGGAACGGGGACTTTATTTTGGGGACATTTCTGCTGATAAAGCTGCTGAGCTCTGACCAGCCTTGTCTGTAGTCGTCCCGCCCACTCTGGGAGAGAGAAATGCCCCTTTCCCTGTTCTCTAACACATAATAGTGCTGTGATAAAACTCATTGTCACCGTGGCTGTAATCTGTGCATGTGAAAAACAAAATGAACATCACGTTCTGGTGAGCTTGATACACTTTATTCACATTTTACAGACTAAAAACGGAGCTGCAGGAGTTGTGACTTGCCCAGGATCACATAGCCTGTCACTGGCTGAGCTGGAATTAGAATCTAGGATTCCAGGTGGCCGGACTTTCGCTCTGGTATCCAGTGTCTAGTAAAATTAGGGTACTGAATATTTGTTAGGTCACAGCTTTCATTTAAAACTCAAGAACTATTAGTAATTTATTTATTCCTTAAATTTTGGGAGGAATTTGAGGACAAAATGTAGGAATAAGGCTGTTCAAAGGACTGTGACAAATGAAAACTAACGTGGTTGTGTTTTTTTATTTTAATTTATGCTTCAGAAATGCTCCGTTTATCAACAGTGCTACGTCAGATGAGGCCAGTGTCCAGAGCACTGGCCCCACACCTACTACGGACCTATGCAAAAGATGTTAAATTTGGAGCAGATGCTAGAGCTCTTATGCTACAGGGAGTAGATCTTCTAGCAGATGCTGTAGCTGTCACCATGGGACCAAAGGTATATTAAATTATTTTTTGTGTAATGTGAATTCTTGTTCAGTACAGCCCTGTTTTATAAACCAGTTGGGGATTGAGGTATTCGTAAAGTAAAAAAGTCATCAAATGGACCATTTCAAAATTATAGTAGATACAGTGCATAAGTTAATTTATCAGTCATTAAACCACCGTGTGCACAGAAATAGTAAATGAATAATATGCCAGACTCTTGTTAGAACTTAATCTCTGTGCTGCTAAATTAGTCTTTCCAGCACCATACAGGCACTTAAATTTTGGCTGGACAATTGTTCAGTGGATGGAAGATGACTTATGGCAGGATATATTTATGATGGTTAGTATTAATGGAATGCTACTGTTTTAGAAGTGTCATGTTCAGAACCCAGTTCAGTTTAAAGTAATAAACCCAATTTCATGTTGGGAGGAAGCTAAATACTCCCATCACACAACATAAATGGTTCCCCACGAGCAGCCTACTGCTTCAACCTGCCATGATGGAGAGCTGCTTCAGCACTGTTAGGCAGCCCCTGGTGACTGATGCTGGCAGCTGGAGTCCCACTTAATTGGTTAACCAGTTGATTAATCTGTTATTGTTTAGCTGATTAATCAGGATTTACATCCCTAGTAAATAGCGTGGCTTATGTGAACATGCAGTGTTGACTATAATAGAGGTAGTTGAACAACCTACGACAAATTTAGGTTTTCAGAGTACTAGCTGTGATGTTGGAGCAAGATAGTAATTTTGGATAGGGGTTGTGTTTAACGCAAGGCTTTGGAGATCATACACCTCTCCTGGGCAGAGGTTATTGACCTGTGGACCACTTTGTGCTCAGTCAGCATATAGCTGTGGTGCAAGTGACACCCTCAGGGCTATATAGGCAGTATTGTGTATCTATAGTGTGTGGCTGTGACCCACAATGGCGATAGGTTGAGAACCACTTCTCTAGGGAGTATAAATCCAAAGTTGGGGTCTCTGTATTGGGTTTCCTCCTGATTTGCCCTGGTAAACCATGTAACCGCAAACAAGTCCCAAGGATATAATAAAAGGAGTGGCTGTTAGGTGAATACACCTTTAGGCTCAATTCTGCAAGTGTTTATCCTAGTGAGTAATCCCATTGCATGTAGTTGGATTACTTCCATGAATAAAATTATACACAGTAGGTCTCTGCAGGATTGGAAGTGTGTGTGTGTGTGTGCGCATATAATTGAGTTATCTCCAAAGGTGAGTGTTTCATTACTCAACACTCCTTAAATATCTATCTAATCTAAATTTTTTCCTGTGGGATGACAGTGATGTCATTATGTCACTACGTCCTGCTTACCGCCTCCCTCTCTAGTGCTCCAGATGGGAGCCGGGGCTGCCATCGCCTGGCCTAACACCCCTTCCCCGCTGGCAGCTGGAGGAAGAGAGCCAGGACTGGTGTGATGGGTGGGAGGAAAGGGGGTAGGCCAGGGCTGCCATGCATCAACCTGGCCCTTCCCAGTGGCTGACCCTGGCTGCCTACCCCCAGAGAAGGAGGGTTGGCAAGCATAGTGAGCAGGGGATGCAGCCCCCTAGTTCTTTGTAAACAAAAAATGTCAGCTTGAGAGAAACCAAGTGGTGAGGAAATTCTACTTAATTTGTGTCATGGCTTTTAAAAAATAATCTAAAAACCTATGTAAGACTAGGTTTCTCAAAGCAGTTACTCTGTGTTAATGGAAATGGAATTGGTTTGTCTTCATGACTGACAAGGTAACCCCCAAGCCATAAGGGGGGGTCTGTCTGTCTGTCGTCTTGGTCCAGCCATAAAAGTAACCCTTATTTCTATGTTCAATTCAAAGGCTTAGCTGTAAGAATAGTATTTTAGTATATGTTCAGTAATCTGCAGACTCCTCATAACACCATTCTCTCCAAAATCCTAAAGTAGAGGAGGTTCTCAGCTCCCCCCTCCCCCATTCTGGGATATCATCTGTCATGTTCCAGAACTCCAGTCTCCAGGCCATCCACTTGAGAGTTCCCACATTTGCTTCCTTCCTCTTGACTATTCTCTGGTAATCCCAAATCAGGTCCCCCACGTGAACTAGCTGAGTTACTCATGTAGGCCTTCCTAAATTCTTCCTGCTTTTGGGAACCATTCTGTTGCATCAATCTTATTGGTTTGGATTTGACTTTCCCTAACCAGGCTGGCTCTTCCCTTTGTTTCTAGGGGCCTCTGCACCAGCTTTCAGCATTGGCCAGTCCCCATCAGTAATACTCTTTAGCTTTTGTTCTTCCCAATAGCTCTCTGCACCTGCTCTCCTTTGCTGCTTCTGTTTCTGCATCTGTCCTTTCTTCTTGATCCGGCTTTCCTGACTTTGCTTTTATGTAGCTCAGGTGCCTTTTCTTAACCCCCTTTGGGAGGCAACTAATCAGTAGGTGCCCGGGCCCTGCCCCCTCTTAAAAGAGCTAGTCACTCCGTGATAGTTGGAGGTGGCACCTTCTTAGCTTTTTCGAAGAGCAAAAATGTAACACATATAGGAGAATGCCTAGTTCCTCAAGGTGAGGGTTGACAAAATGATGCAAAAAGTGGTAAAGTGCCAACAACATAGTATTGTCTGCATTGGAAGTTAGGTTGGTAGAACTGGTTGTGAACTTTTCACACCCCTGAGCTAGTGATGTGAGCAAGTAGTTGAGTTCTTGGCTACCAGATAAGGCTAAGTGTAGCCGGGAGTCGAGTATTTGACTACTTGCTTCCCTCCACCTGCTTGCTGCCTCTGTATGAGAGGCAGTGGGTGGGGCAGGAGCTGGCTTAAAAGCTGGTTTCCTCCCCCAGCACCAGCTCTATGGTGCTGCCTCTGCAGGGTAAAGGAGGCTCCCATGAAGCAATCTTCTGCCCATGGTGGGCCTAGGCTCACCACAGGCAGAGGAACCCCAGCCACAGCTGCTACAAACAGGGGCTGCTGGACCAGGACTGAGCTGGGACCAAGCAGTCCCAGATAATGTCCGTCTGGGACTGCTGCCCCTCCGCATTTTCAATGTAGTAAGAGCCATCCACCTGCGCTACAGCTGTGAATTTTAAATGTAGTAAGAGCCTAGTAGATCTTTCGACATTAAAATGCAGACCCTGCGTGACCTGAGACTGTCCCAGCTTGTACCAGCTTTAGGAGCTGCCCCCTTATTGACTAATTGTGCAGTCGATACAAATTATATCCACTACACAATTAGCCAGATAACTGCTCTTTAACATCCTTACCCTGTGCAATACATTTAGGCTGTGTCTACACTGGCATGAATTTCCGGAAATGCTTAAAACAGAATACTATTCCGTTTTCAGTTTTTCTGGAAAAGGAGCGTCTACATTGGCAGGCTGCTTTTCCGGAAAAGCCCTTTTCCGGAAAAGCATCTGTGGCCAATGTAGACGCGCTTTTCCGGAAAAGAGTCCCGATCGCCATTTTCGCAATCGGGGCTTTTTTCCGGAAAAGACTACTGGGCTGTCTACACTGGCCCTTTTCCGGAACAGTGTTCCGGAATAAGGACTTATTCCCGAGCGGGAGCAGAATAGTTTTTCCGGAATAGCGGCTGATTTTGTACAGTAGAGCATCGTTGCTTTTCCGGAAATTCAAGGGCCAGTGTAGACAGCTCGCAGCTTATTCCGGAAAAGCAGCTGATTTTCCGGAATAAGTGGCCCAGTGTAGACACAGCCTTACAGTTTTTTTTATGTAGCCTCACCATGTCCCATCTTCTGTAATACAACTGTCTGGTGAGTGAGCAAATGGCTTCAGTACTATCAGATATTTTGTATTAAATCCACTTTTAAAAACTACAGATGTTAGTGCTCTCCTCCCTCTCCCTCCCCCCCCATTGTTTAATTTATCCATCTGGTTCTGTCTTTGAACATCTGTTTGCCACCTTATGGCTCCTGTTGGCTTTACAGGGATGAAAAAGATTGAACTGCATTGCATTCCCTTTTATTCATAACTTGTTTGTGGAATTTGAATGCTCTTTGTAAATTGGTACCATATTCTTTCATTGGTATCTAGCCTAAATTAGAAGAATCTTTATAAATCTCACTGTGACATTGGAAAGTAGAACAAACTTTCTTCTCCATAAAAATAAGTATATTTTGTATTGGCAGTATTAACAGATCTGTGTTGGTGAAAAATGGCTGAGGCTGTGTCTATACTGCAGCAAAATACCTGATGCTGGCACAAGTCAGCAGACTCAATTTATGCTGCAGGACTAAAATTAATGTAGATATGTGCGTGCGTGGAACCCAAGTTCTGGAATCTCTTGGAGTCATGGAGCCAGTATTGTGCAATCCCAAGTCACTTAACCTGTACCATCCATAGATGTTATATTGCAGTGTGGACCTTTCCTGTTGTGTAGATGTGCCAAGTGGTAATTTTGTGGTAGTGCCTTTTATTTGTTCTGCTTAGTATCATTTCTATTAATATATTCTTATGTGTGTTGAATGATTTTTAGGGTAGAACAGTGATTATTGAACAAAGCTGGGGAAGTCCTAAAGTAACAAAAGATGGTGTGACAGTAGCCAAGGCAATTGATTTGAAAGACAAATTCAAAAACATTGGTGCCAGGTTAGTTCAAGATGTTGCCAACAACACAAATGAAGAGGCAGGAGATGGGACTACTACTGCAACAGTACTGGCACGTTCCATTGCAAGGGAGGGCTTTGAGAAAATCAGCAAAGGCGCTAATCCTGTGGAAATCAGGAGAGGTAAGAATTTAACAACTTTGTTACTAGTGCTTTTAAGAGTTTCTCTAACATTTTATCTTCAGTTTCTTCTCTGCTTCACCCATGGCAAATTTGACTGGTTTTTGAGAGAACCTGCTTCCATTTGGAAAAAATAACATGACCTTTTGGGAAAAGGCAGCACCTAGAAAGGAATCTAACTTTGCTGGAAAGTGGCTGGACTAACCTTTTCAGGCCTTTTAAATGCACAGATTTTATATAGACTGTGTTAGAGCTCATTGGATTTACTTGTCATTTATTAGAGCGGATTTCAGTAAAGTTTGTCTTCTGATAGGCCTATGTTTTGGAACTTATAAATCAGGAAGTGTCTGTCCAGTGCTTAGTATTGTGTATAAATTGTATGTAACACTTGTACTATCATAAGCAGTCTCTGCTTTTCTTCATCCCCTCACCAAATATTCTGTATACACTTGCAATTTAATATTGATTGGTCTTTTAAAATATATCTCCTAGACTTGTTAGTTTGTTTGTGGTGTGTTTTAGGGATGTGAGCAATGAGTCTATTAGTGATGAGAGTAGTTGCTCCTCCTTCCCCGCGCCTACTGCCTCAGAGAGGCAGCAAGGGGAGGAAGTAGGAGAAGAGGGGAGTGCAGAAGCCGGTGCTGGAGGGAGCCGGCTTAAAAGCTGGTTCTCTCTTCTCCTTTCCCCCCTTCCCCTCTAGCACAGGGAGGCAGAGCAGTCTCTGCATGTACTGGTTCTGGTGCGATTCTGATGTCAAAAGTAGAAGTCCTGCAGGAAGCACGCCCCAGTGCTCCCTGCAGGGTTCTTGCAGCAGTTCAAAAGCGGAGGCGCCCTTGTCAACTAATCAAATAGTTAATGGAAATCCTATTTGACTATTCTGTTATTAATTAATCTAAATTTAACATCCCTAGCGTGTTTATAATCTTGTCCCAAGTTGTCCTTTGTCCTTAAAAGTGCATGGTCTACACCCATTATTATTTAAAAAAAAAGGTATTCTACTTTGCATGCAAATAGAGGGAAGGCTGTGTTGCTGCTCTTACGTTGTTTAACAGATGTTACAATAATAGATTTTTTTTTATGGGTTCATTAAGGAATTTTGAAGCTTGTCATGAGACTTGACTATTCTGCACCATGTACATAGAACTTGGATGGGCAACCCTAACTATCCTATTTTTCTACCCAGGAGTAATGCTAGCAGTGGATGCTGTCATTTCTGAACTAAAGAAATTGTCCAAGCCTGTTACAACCCCAGAAGAAATTGCCCAGGTGAGGCTTCATTCTTTTTTGCTTTACTAGTTTTCCATAACGGTCATAAATATATTTCATCCAACAAGTGAAGATGTGCTAGTAAATTAACTGTAATGGGAACCTACTAAAATACATCTTGGGCTTATGGCATTAACTTGCTTGCTACTGTCCTATTGCAGCTCATTTAAAATGCAGCATTTTTATCTTTGGGTCTCTAGTCTGCAGGAGGCTCTACTGCTTTCTCTAGCTGCTTTGTTTCCCTTCGACTCCTTACAATAGAAGTTCTGGAGAGATGGTGAGCAGGAAGAGAGCACCACCCAGCCCTGTTCTTCTCCCAGCTCTGCACCTGGCTCTGCTCCCAGCCTTAGTCCCTGGCTGGTGCTCTACTCCTGGTCCCAGACCCACCCTGGCTGCAGTGCCCTTACTTCATTCTTCTCTTTTTCGCTTCCCTCCACTCTCTTCTCAGACTTGTGCTGTAGCTCGAACTGGACAGGGTAAGGGTGAGGGGAGGGACATGACCCAGAGAAGTTGTTGTGCCACTGCTCTAGAGACCAGCTGCCTGCCCTCTGGACCATGGGACTTTAAAGGGCCCACTCAATGCTGTGATAATAAACATTGGTCTTTCGGCTGAGTCAGGAGCCTCCCAAGTATATTGTCATCATGCAACGGAATGCCAAAAGTGACTCTCGCTATCTTGATTCAAAAGTCCAGAACAGTACTACATATCTGGAGGAAAGAAACAGTTGTCTGTTAAACTCACTTGTAATTATTCACTGGCTAACTTGGGGAAACATTAATGTTCGTGGTTTTCTCTTGGAGGTTTAACAAAATGAAGATTTGGTATTGGACCTAAACTCTAATTTGTAGTAATGAAAAATAGCCATGAGAAAGCAGTAGCTTTTCACAATAGTGCACATCTAAATGTTGTTACAACTTTACTAGGGGGCTGTGCCCCCTACTCACTATGCTCACCAACCCCCTCTCTAGGGGTAGCCAGCCCCAGTCCCTGGCACCAGGGAGGGCAGGGCCAAGGCCACAGCAGTCTTGGCTTTCCTTCTGCCCCTGGGGGAGGGCTGAGGTCACAGCAAGGCAGCCTCCCCAGCTGCCCAGGAGGGCTGGGCTGTGGCAGGCCATGGGACAGAAAGGAGGCAGCTCCTGGGAGTTGGGTTGGGTTGGGTGCCGGGCTCAGCATGGGGCGGTGCTGGCCACAGAGCTAGGGGAGGGGGAAGAGGAACAGCAGTATGTGGAGCTGGCAAGTCGAATCCAGCAAGCAGGGTTGGGGCTTCATCCCTTTCATTGTACAGGAAGCTGGTGCTGGCGCTCTAAACTTACAGGGGGCTGAGCTGGTGAGTGAGGGTACGTCTAGACTACCGCGTTTTGTCGACAGATACTGTTGACAAAACTTCCGTCGACAAAGAGCATCCAGACACATTGAGTTCTGTCGACAAAGCAAGCTGCTTTGTCGACAGAACTCCGTAGTCTGGACGCAATGTTACAGGCAATAACACCTTCTGTCGACAGAAGGTGTTATGCCTCGTAAAATGAGGTTTACCAGCGTCAACAAAACTGCTGAGTTCTGTCGACGTTATGTCGACAGAACTCAGCGGTAGTGTAGACGCTGGTATAGTTTTGTCGACAAAAGTCCACTTTTGTCGACAAAACTAGGTAGTCTAGACACACCCTGAGGGGGCTGGGTGGAGAGACAGGAATGAGGAAGCCAGCAGCAGGGCGAGCAGGGAACTCCCTGCATCCCACCCCTGTGGACCATGCTGCCCACAGCGCTCCTTCTGCTCCCGTTCCGCCAACCCCCATCCCCAGCCTGTCAATGCTGATGTGCAGGGCTTGACAAGCTCGCAGTTTGGCTGATTGTGCTGCGGCGCCATGCCAGGCTAAAATCTACTTGCCACGGGTGAGTAGATTGCCGTAATTGTCGAGCCCTGCTGATGTGATTACGTAATTTTGTTGTCCAGCAGGAAAAGTTTTATATATGTAGAGAGAGAAAATAGTCCCTAAACTTAATTTCTGTAAACAGTTGATTAGTTATTTTTTCCTTTTAGTAAGCACTTGATTAATCTCATTGCAGGTTGCCACAATCTCAGCAAATGGGGACCAGGAAATCGGCAACATAATCTCTGATGCAATGAAAAAAGTTGGACGGAAGGGTGTTATCACTGTTAAGGTAAGAGTATCTCTTAGGCTTCTTGAAGGTTACTTGGAGTTTTCTTAAAGATAAACTTGCCAAGTTAAATGAACATTTGCTGGAAGCAGAGTAAGAAGTAAACTCACTGCACTTGTAACTAAATTTCTTCCACTTTAATCTGAAATACAGAACTGTTATGTTGCTGCTATCTGTTGTTAGCTCTTGCTTTGTATGGCATTGCTGCACATATTCTTCCCTCACTACATAAGTCTAATTAAATAGAAACTGGATTAGGAATATATGGTGAGCCCAACAGCTCATTAACAGTGATAGTTTTGTCTTGTACCCAGTAGGGAATATTGCAAAGGAACTAGCGAACTTAATTTTTTAAGAGGAATGCTATTTGATAATTAGTCAAGATGGCATAGATCAAAAGTTATGATAGCTAGCATAGTCAATACAGGAACATGAAATATAGTGGATGGAAACTGAATCAGTGAGTTGGACTGCTGAGCAGATGCATGTGTCTAAGCCAAAGTAGGGATGTACTGCAATAAATTGAGGTTAGACTGACTATTCTGGCCAATGCTGATCATTATTTGGCAAGCCTTTTTATTCTTTAGGTCATCTAGAACGATAGCTACCACTAACCACTCAAGATAGCTTCTGTTAAAGGACTAGTACAAGATTAATTTAGTTCACCTGTAGTTGTAAACTTCCTTGGTATGTTTGATCTGATTATTGTGAAATACTGTTTCCACCGCAGGAGATAAGGATGTGATTTACATGTAGTTCTAGGTACACACAAATTGTGTTCTCAGATACTTCTCCCTATACAGATAGTGTATCTCATAGATTATCCCCTCATTCTCTCCCGTTGCTCTGTTCTCCCCATAAAGGGGAGAAGATGTAAAGAATGCAACCACAGTGAAAGGTAGCACAGAGAGATTTGAATTCCATGGTGTCTAGCATTTTAGAAATATATGCCCAAAAGCACTCCCTTTACTGTGTAAACTGTAGATTAAAGTATAGTGCATATTTTTATCACACTAAACAGGATGGGAAAACCATGAATGATGAATTGGAAATCATTGAAGGCATGAAGTTTGACAGAGGCTATATCTCACCATACTTCATTAATACAGCCAAAGGTGAGCTTGCAGGAGTTGCCATAATTTGTACAAAAAAATGTCTTCCTGGAGAAAACACAGTACAAGCAAAGTGAATTTGGGGTAATTAGTTACCATAATTTTTTTGAACAAAGATGTTTCCTTAAGTGTATTAGGGATGTAAAAAATAGTTTAAAAAGTTAACTGTACAGGCAGTCCCCGACTTAAGTCGGATCCGCAGTTACAAACGGGGATTTTCTCGCCCCGGAGGACTGGAGCGGCGGGATGCCGGGCCGAGAAAAGCTGCTCCCCGTCCCCCTGGTCTGCTGGGGGAGCCAGCAGACCAGGGAGACGAGGAGCAAAGCGGCGGAGGACCCGGGCCGGACCCGCGGCGCTTCCAGCTGATCATGTGCTGTAGTTTTCAACTATTTCTGACTATGTAGGATTTTTCATGAGAGAAAACAAAAATTGCTACCAAGTCACAAATTGGCATAATATTTCAGGAGTAGAAATATTACTATTTGTTTTCACTCTGTTAAATTTGGTTGATCTTAATGCTGACTGTTGTTCTAATCCAAATGTAAATAGAAAAATGTAGTGGCCAGATTTGATCAGATTTTTGAGATGGTAAATTGTACTTCATACATACATACATGCTAAAATAGAACATTTAGATAGTTCAAACAATGCTTATTGCCTCTGCAGGACAGAAATGTGAATTCCAGGATGCTTATGTCTTAATTAGCGAGAAGAAAATTTCCAGTGTTCAGTCAATAGTTCCAGCTCTTGAAATTGCCAATGCTCACCGTAAGCCTTTGGTCATTATTGCAGAAGATGTTGATGGTGAAGCCCTTAGTACTCTAGTCTTGAACAGGTAAGACTTGAATCGATGTACCTCCATACAGTCTTGTAAGTCTATTTCAGAGTCAGAAAACTGTTGTCCAAATAGTTTAGTAGGGAAAAAGTTACAGGATTGTGGGATCCATTAAGATGGCATTTTTGCTTTGCCTGTCTCCGACTTGCACTTTTTTTACAGTAGCTGAGAGCACATAGGGAAGTGTTAACACTGTCAGAATTTGTGTTCTCGCTGAACTTTTTTTTTTTAACAGATTAAAAGTTGGCCTTCAAGTTGTTGCTGTAAAAGCACCAGGTTTTGGTGACAATAGAAAGAACCAGCTTAAGGACATGGCAATTGCTACTGGTGGTGCTGTAAGTAAAATTATATGCCTATGTACAGGGTTTGACAAACCCTAGCGAGACCTACTCGCCAGCCCCGCACCACGCATGCGCAGCGCCGGTGAATGGGGCGCACGGAGCAACCAGCTGAAATCTACTTGCCATGGGCGAGTAGATTCAGCAGTTTGTCGAGCCCTGCCTATGTATGTCTGTAGGTACCAAATGTATTTATTGTGTGGCCAAGTACCCCTTTGATTTTTAACTTCCTCTAGAATGCTCCAGGGGATAAGTATTTGAGGGATTGATAATAGGGTACCACACTTTAGGTCTGTGCTGGACTGTCAAGCCATTGTATAGCATGGCTAGTTGTTCCAGCTGGCTATCAAGCATGCACTTCGCATCTGCTGCTCTTGTTAATATCCTCTTCAGCATTTTGGATGGATGTGGAATTGTTCTTGTTTGCCCGTAGGTCATCTTTCTTTAACAAGAGACACTTGATATAACGGAACTGAGACACCCTTACTATAGCTTCTCTGGAACTACTGATTGCCCTGTGTATTGATGCTTTTTACAGATTGGCATCTTAAAACCTCAAATCCCTGCACTTTTTCATTTAAATTGTTAATGTGTATGTATATAAGTTTGAGTTGCAATGCACCTCTTTCTTAGTGGTCACAAGCAATTAACTTTCTCACTTACTGTATGTCAACATCGAATACAGACCTTCCCAATAATCCTATTTAAGTGGCACAAACTTGTTTGAGTTATTCTGGAAGTTGTTACTTATTAAACTGACCTGCCTGAACAAAAGCATTATTGATTATTAATGTTCAGGGAAGATTTAAGTCTTCTGGAGTTTTGAATGGAAGAGTGTGGTATGTTCTGTAGGCAGTTTAATTTTGATTTTTAAAATCCTATGACGGGCAACTATAGTACTAAAACACACTTTTTTGTATACAAATCTGAAAAAAAAAAAAAAACCAGCAGCATTATATTAGCCCCAGACTAATTCATGAAAATTGGCAAGTGCCAAAGCAAACGGGATGAACAAAATATAAAATCTCCTAAATTCAGCTATAATTGCTGGCATCAATAACAGAGGAAACTCATTAAATAGCTTGGTGCTGGCCCTGTAACATAGCTGTCACACCTGACATGCTGGAGATAAATGTGCAAAGTATTCCTTTTAGCTGACCATTGCCAAAGGTCTAGAAATGAGATAGGAGCCAAATTAATCACTATCAGTGCTAGTATGTAACAAAATTAGACCTTGCCTATACAGGGGAACTTCCTGACATTGCTATAGTAGAATAACTATTCCAGGACAGCTATTCAGAACAACTCTTTTTTAAATAAAATTGCCTATTCTTGAATAAATCACTCTTCCCCAGAAGTATCCATATTGGGGATTAAAGCAGAATAGGTATCCTGCTGTAGCTATGCAGGGAAATGTCTGTGGAGGGCAGGGACTTAGTCCAAGCTTTCCTGTGATCTGTTTCAGATATTTGGAGAAGAGGGTCTGGGACTAAATCTAGAAGATATTCAGCCTCATGACTTCGGTAAAGTTGGTGAGATCATTGTCACAAAAGATGATACCATGCTCCTGAAAGGGAAGGGTGAAAAGGCTCAAATTGAAAAGCGTATTCAAGAAATTATTGAACAGTTAGAAGTTACTACAAGTGAGTATGAGAAGGAGAAACTAAATGAACGATTGGCCAAGCTCTCTGATGGAGTAGCAGTACTAAAGGTGAGGAACTTTTAACTCTTTCCTTAGACTAAAACAGTTGTTCTCCAACTATGACACAGACCCTATGAAGATCGGGGGAGTGGGGGAGAGTTTTTTTGTTTGTTTGTTTTGGGAGGGGTTGTTTGGTTTGTTTGATACACTCTGGGTGGCTGGGGCTTCAGGAGATGGGACTGTGCATACCTGGCAGGCAGACACAAAAGGGACAGCTGGAGCACCTCACTGAGGCTTCCTTTGTCTCTTTTCCCCCTCCCCCAGAATCCCTTACTTGGAGGGGACAGGGCTCCAGCTTTCAGCTTCAGCATGGTAGCAGCTGTGCAGAAGTAATGGGGGCATAGAGTGCCAAGTCTGCTGAGAAGGGTGATAATGAACTCTCACTCACTCTTTACACTTCCATTTTTTATACTGCTGGTGGGGATCTGCCTTCAAAGCTGGGTGCGCAGCCAGTAGCTGCTGCCTCCTTCTCCACTTTCAGAGTTAAGGAAGAGGGGATTAATCAAATAAGTCTGAGAGCCCGAGTTAAAACTTTGGTATACCAAATGGACAACCAAAGTTTACTACTATCATAGTTTAGCAATTGCATCACTGTGACTCTTAATTGCTTAGCAGAGGTGTCTTCCATCTCTTAAGTGTTGCTATCTTGTGTCAAAAACCAAACAACCAAAAGATTTGGTCAAACTGTATAGATCAGACCTCTGTTACTCACTCGCCCACGCTCCCCCTCCCTGCTGGCTGAGCTGAGCCTGGCACTACCAATACTCCTATATCAAGATGGGTCTCCTGGCTCTCCCCACGCTGGTCTGTATCTTATCCCTTCTAGCCAAGTCACAAACTTCACTTCTGAAGTAGCAAAAGTCCAACGTCAAATTCCCAACAAACAAAAAGACTTTTACTCCGTGGATATGTTCTTTACACTATAATTGAGTCAACAAAAGAGCACAGAAAGAGGCTGGGAACAGGATAGAGAATCTGCCTTAATCAGGTTCCTCTGGAGTACCTCTCCTGGGCTCTGTTCCTTCTATCCTCCTGATCCCTTATAGAGCAGGCTGGTTCCTCTAGCACAGTGTTTCCCAAATGGTGCTCCATGGAACCCTGGGGTTCTGCAAAGTAAAAATAAGGGTTCCACGAGAATTTGATTATTAGGTGTTCCTCGAAATTCTTTCAAGTTTAAAAAGGTCCCATGGTCAAATAAAACTGGGAAATACTGCCCTAGGGTACTTAAGTCTCCTGCAGATTGGGGCTCTCCATCTTCTTAAAGGCCCAGGTATCCACTAATTATCTCCTTCATCCCACTCATTTCAGGCTGGGAAGCAGCTAATTAACTATGGAACAGGTGAGGCTGACATCTTTCCTCTAAGGTGCCAGGACCCTGTGACAATTTGCAATTTAATAACATTTATGTACTCCCTTAATGTTTCCCCTCGGTGCAACAGTGGGGTCTACTTGGTTACACGTGGGTCCAGCACAGTTGACAAAAATTAAGACAATTGTCTTTACTTCATTGATCCATCCTGACTACAATCAGGTTACACTTTGGTTATCATACTTGATACTCTTCTTGGTTGTCACTGAGGAGGATTTATTTGCTACTTTCAAAACTGCCAATCAGTGGGATGGGGGAGCACCCCATGTGTTCTAGTTGTCCCTCACCTGGTAGAGTGTGTTAATTCAGGGGAGTAGTTAAGTTTGGAGGCTGTGAAAATTCTAAACTGCTATACAAAGTGGTGCTAAATTGGTCAGTGGAAATAGCTCCGTAGAGAAGGTCTTTAGGCATTTGAGAGTGTTCTTAAACTAAAATGGAGGTCTTATTTTTCTGTGGCAATTAAAAATCCAAAGTTGCTGTTTATACGAATGTGTCAATTCCTATCTGCAGGTCCAATTTATTTTTAGTACAGGTTGGACTTCCTAGTCTGGCACCCTCAGACTTGACAAGTCTTGAACTAGGGAATTTGCCTGACCGGGAGTGTGGGTCAGTGGCGGTACCTTTCCCACTGGCCCCCAGGCTCTCCTGCCAGCCACCGGTCCTCCAGCTGCCCAACTCCCAGCCTCCAGGAACATAGAGATCCAACCTATAGTAGGGATGTAAAATCCCATTTTATTGGATAACCGGTTAAATTTAATGTTTAATGGTCAACTGATCAAAGGAGGGGGTGGACATCTCTAGTAGTCTCATACAATTAATAAGGAAATTGTAACAAGACAACTAAGGCTACGTTTATTGGACCAACTTTTTTTGTAGAGACAAACTTTTGAACTTACGCAGATCTTCTACAAGTCTCATTTCCTGTCACTTGTACAGTATAAGGGATACTTCCGTGCGTATTTCTGCTTTAAAAATGGGTATTTGGGGTGTTTTGCTTTTCCAGGATGAAGTGAGAACTATATTTACAGTTTTAAAACTGAAAGGCATCTTAATTGCAAACGGCTCTTTCCAATTGAAGTGTAATTTTTTTTACAGTTTTTGTGGTGTTTTTGGCACTCAGGTAGAGGTGTCCGCTATTAATGTTTAACTGACCTATACAATGCTTCTGACATCTGTAGCACATTCTTGCTTCTGAGAACGTGTGGGGACTTGAAACAACTGACAACATGGGGCTTGTTCACTCTAGGTTGGTGGCACAAGTGACGTTGAGGTGAATGAGAAGAAAGACAGAGTTACTGATGCACTGAATGCTACTCGTGCTGCTGTAGAGGAGGGTATCGTTCTAGGAGGTGGTTGTGCATTGCTTCGATGCATCCCAGCATTAGATTCTTTAACTCCAGTGAATGAAGATCAAAAAATTGGTAAGCAAACTCCTTGGGAATGAATTTTCATGTGAAGATTAACATTTTCTTTATGATACTACAGGCAGTCCCCGGGTTACGTACAAAATAGGGACGGTAGGTTTGTTCTTAAGTTGAATCTGTATGTAAGTCGGAACTGGCGTCCAGATTCAGACACTGCTGAAACTGATCAGTTTCAACAACGGCTGAATCTGGACGCCAGTTCTGACTTACATACAGATTCAACTTAAGAACCCCAGGCATCCCCAAGTCAGCTGCTGCTGAAACTGATCAGCGGCTGATTCC